AAAAATTGACCCCATGTGGTCTCTCTTCGAGGCCAAATGACGAAAAACTCCGTATCACAGAAAATTGCGCGTTCGTCAGGCCGATGGAAGGTCACGACTTTTTATGGCTGTTACTTCTTGAGCTGCTGAATAATCTGGAGGACGTGGATGAGCAGCATGACGACCCCACATGCTGCCTCGCTGCGTTTTTGGGGCGCGAGCTGTCGGCCCCTTTGGCGAGGTGTTGCTCGGCTTCGTGCGGTAACATTCCGTCTCCCACCGGTGGTCAGTGGCCCTTCTCGTGTAGAAACGACCGTGTCGGCACGAACAAGTGAGGCTTCAGGTAATGCCGTCACGCGGTCACACGGTCATCACTCGGCGAAGCCAGGACGCGCGAGCTAAAACGTGCTCGACGCGATGCAGTCGTTGCATGGTAAATGGCCGCGCTGTCGCTATCTAGGCGTTTTTGTGATTGGCACTGAGCCAAACCTCTCCTTGGCCCATACATCTCTCTGCTGATGTATGCCTGCGTGTTGCTGGGTTCAATGCATCATCGGCAAGCGTTCCACCGCTAATGGACCCCCTCAATCACCAGATAGCACATCGTGTTCCTGATCGTGCACGCAGTGTCGCCCTCCCACCACCCATTCGGCGCCGTCGCCCACTCTTCCTTGTAGTTCGCTGGTACCGTCTCTCCTTTCCTCACGACCCGCCAGCAACGCCGCCCCATTTGGCTCGCGCCGATCGCTATGGTCGCGCCCGCTCGGGACGCTTCCCATAATGATGTCAACGGTCGTGAGTAGTTTCCACACATGCGGAACGATATGGGGGGCCGCCCATGAATAATATTACGCATTGAGGGAGCGGAGGGGGAGGGGACTTAACGGAAACGCAACAGAGGGAGAGGGAGAGGATGTTGGCAGCGTTATGTTATTCTCAGTTGTGGTGGCGAATGCGGCTAAAATCTTGGAGACAATTTATAGCCTTAAATGTAGATACCGTGGGCTCACCCTCATAAAGTAACATATCATAAAGTAATGCACGGGCATGTCTAGCTCAATTAGGGGTCAATTGGGTGAGATTTCTTTAAAATGTTACAGCGTGTCCGGAGTGACGGGGGTTCACCCAGCATAGCGAGTGTGCAACCAAGGGTTAGGGAGGGCTGAACAATTGTCAACAGCGCGTAACGTAAATGATTGACGACCCCATACTATTTCCTTCGCGTCCGTTTGTTCGCTTGCTTGTTTGGTTGTTTTTCGGCGCATACTTACCGGACGGTGAGACCTACTTCCCAGCGGGTCGCGCCGTTTGAGCGGGCTCTGGCGCTGCCAGCCCAGTACCGGTAATCAGGTACGATACGGCCCTCGGCTGGTGCGTGGTACGTGCTTAGAAGGCCTGTTTTTAACCCTTGCCCAAAAAGGGAAGGGAGTTCGATGCGAACCCCTATGCCGGTATGCTGCACAATCGTGCCAACACTTTCAGTAGCCTATGAGACATTCATTGCGCATTTTTGACACCAAAAATGCTTCTATCATCTCTGGTTTCGGAGTGGCGGCGATTTTTTAGGAACACTGCGCGGCGATCTATGGCCGGCGCGGGCTGAGAGCCGACATCATTGCGCTAATGGAGCCATACATCATGAACATATAGTCAAAACACACAAGACTATGTGCCAACTTAGTAGGAATTAAACTAAGAGCACACTTGTTTGGATTTCGTTTCGATGCGAGACGTGGCCTGGTAAATATAAATATATTTATTTATAAACTTCAGCATTTTAGAGCATCGTTTAACCTCATAATGAGTACAGGGATTTGTGGGAACTGAAAACTGTTGTCATTCGATTGAACGTAAAGCTCAAACTAGAGATCTTGATTCCTAAAGGGATAATGACCATAAGTGTCATGGTGCACATTAAAATGGACTAAACAACAAACACCCCATCTTCGTGACTTCCTCAACGACAGTTTTCAACATAAAAACAATTTACAAACTGGCAAAATTTCAAACATGTTTTCACCGTCCAGGAAAATTTCAAAGGAAATGAGTTTTAGGTCCTAGCAATGTTTACCTTGCTCTACAGAAGTGACTCGCGAACGATAGCAGATGGAATGCAATGAAAACAGGTTACATGAATGACCTTCCGGACAAATAAATCACAAAAAGGCAATCGCCTGGTGAGGGTTGCATCAGCTCTTACATTGAAACACATGTGCTGCGTCTGATTTTTGGTGATGGGTTCCGAGTCTGAATACATTGGTGAGATCACACGTTTTGTGCCAACAACATAACCCTCTCTCAAAATTTTATATATTTCCAAACACAGGGAGCTAGAATCGCTTTTGAACTAGGGTGGGAGTGAAAAATTTCAAGGCAAAAAGACCGTGCAGGGGTGAAAAAATCAATTAACAGAATATGGAACTTATAAGCTCGTGACTGATGTTTCAGCAAACAAAGACATTTATTTCAAGTTGGCATGGCCGTAGTATCGGAAACTTGGCAAAACTTTTTTCTTAACATGTTAGGCCACTTAAGTGAAACAGAATTCATCAAAGCATAGTTATTTCATGACAGTGTAATCAGCATAAAAACTATCAACACCAATAATTTGATGCTGCACTGTGCACTTCCCTTCCACAGCACTTTTAACACAAAACAAAGCAAAGGAAGTCAAGAGCAAAATATGAAAAGAAAATTAAACAAGCACAAAACACTCAAACAAAAAAACCTTGGACTCATACACATCAGCCCATCACCACGCCAAACACAATAGACATGCCTCTGGCTTTTGTTAAGATGGGATCAGGGAAAACAAACATTTTGTCACTGTTTCTCACAAGATACCAATGCTTATTTCCATGAACGTAGCCTAACTATGTCTAGCATGAAGAGGCCTTACTTCATCTCATCCTGTCCAACCTGTTTGTATCACAGGATTATTAGGTAAATTTAATTTAGGAGACATTTCTTGAATGTTTCACTCCTGCATTTGGGGAGTGATGCAATGTAGTGGTCAAGTCCCCTCGGGAAAAAGAAATACGCGGAGAAAAATTATCTACGAGGCCTTGCCGGTATTTGCACCAGGCTCTGCTTTCGTTGTGTGGTGGTGAGACCGAAAGAATAGGGGATGCGTGAAAACCTTGCACTTGGCACACAGCTGCCGATTGTGATGCATTTTGTAAACAAACCAAACTTAATGCGTGCAAGCGGCTGGCGCCGCTGGGGTTCTTGGGCTTGGAGATACCTGGCGCCATTGCTCTGTGCATTCATAGACATGATTCAGATGTAGGTGAGGCAGGACATAGCCATAGGTGTTCAGGTTCTGTGGAGTCTCGTTTATGTTTGGTGGCTTCAAGTGAGCTTGGTTTTGAATGGCATCTGAAAACCTCAGGAAGGTAAATAGGGGTTTGGCATGTGCGATTATACAATGTCAGGCAGGATTGAAAAAATCACATAAAATATGGGGAAAAGGAGTGCAAAATTCATCCTCATAGGCTGTTGCTTTACACCCAAATTCGGCAATTCTAGGACACTGTCCAAATATGTGGCTGCTCTAAAAATTGCCGAATCATTGAGCACTCGTCACCCAAACTAGACCTGAACACATGTGCTGCATTGCGGCAGCTGGTGCCCCCCACCACACTGGTGTCCACTTTTGTGCTATATTCCTTCCGGAGGTTACTCCTCTAGCGTGTTCTCATCATATGCCATCTGTTTTCATGCGCATGTCGTTTCTGTAGCGTAGGCAAAGATTGTTTAGGGCCGAAACCTCTTTCGAATGGCCTTGTTTTTGACAGGAAACAAATTTTATTGAATTTCGCAACTTTGTAACACATTTTCAAATTTCAAGACTCTCAAGGCTTAAGCCGTTTCGGTGAAACTCTTGTCCTGTTTTCGGTCCATTTTAGTATAAACCTTGCTACTTGAGACTACCGTTCCGTTTACAATGGTTATAACTGTTTTTATGAAGCAAAAATTTCCTGCTATTTGCACGAAAAGTGGAAGCATATTTATATGGACCGTGAGTTTCTTAGATTTACGCACCTAACCCAAACTACGCTTTCCGCAGAGAAAAAAGATCCAGTTTTACTTGCGGTGGATATAGATTCATTAGTGACAGAAGCACAGTTTACCTGGCTAAGTCATGCCGAGTTATGAAATCCCAATTCATGACACGCGTTTTGCCAACCAACTCACACGGACATCCATCAAACCCACGACAGACCATGAGGGACAGCATTGTCAAGGTACCAGATGACGTCATATGCCTACGAATTTCCGGTCATATGGCAGCTTCGTGAGGGACTCCTGATTTGAAGGCGCGGGCGGAAGGAAGGTCGGTGCCTCCGCGTGCTTCAGCAGCTGGCCTGCGGTGTCCGCTTAATGCGGACAGTGAGCAAGTCATCATTCCAGATGCCGTCCTGCTTTATCCTTGTGGCGCAACATTTCAGGGAAGTTTGAGTTTTAACAGTGACGCTACAAACTTCTGGCACCGCTGCCGGCTGTCTGGAATAGTTGGAATTCATTTTACGTTTCAGTGAGGCTCAATGATTTGTAGGGTTTTCAGTTCGTGTGGCCATCTGTTGATGTACCGAGAGGAGAACTCCATTCCAGGTTCCCGTGAACGTATCCCCGCCCCAGCGAACTGTTCCAACGCAACCCCCAGTCGGCGCTCTGCAGGAGTTAGGCCTTGACTGACACGCTCCGCGATAAGTCAGCCCCATCGAGCGCTGGGTCCTACAGCGATGTTCTGCTGCTGAGAGCCGACGGCTGCGCTTGGCCGTCCTCCGCCCTGCAATCGCGGCGGGTGCCTGCAGGCGGGCTGGACGGACCGGGCCACCTTGAGATGCGCAGCGGTGCTGAGCATCCCCCCCCCCCCCCCCCCCCGACAGCGGGGCTCCTCCCCCGGAGGCCGGCGCGGGCCTCAGGACTGGACGGTTTGCCTGGCTGGCGGCCTTGGTGTGAGTCTTCTCCGGCGGCTGAGACTCCAGTCTGCCCCCGAGGCGAGGTGCTTCTATTTAAGGCCCACTGGTTGACATTGAACGCAGTCGCTGCGAAGGTCTCAAAGAGTGCGAAGATGCTCAGAGTGTTGGTGAGTCAGTGCCGTGTTGTTGTTTCATGTCTGATGCGGTCCGATATGTGCTGTTGGGAGAAATGTCTGAGGTCCCGTCGGAACTCAGGAGGCCAGCTCTGACATTCAGAAATGCGTCTTCCGCTGAGCATTATTTAATGAAGTAACCCTCGTGTCGCCTCAGCTGTTATTGCCTTCAGACATACATAACAGCTTGCGTCAAGCTGGCAATAATCCCACGATTATGGATTAAGCCCCACATCCAAAATGTGCATCGTGATTCTGTTGAGACTCTGAGCTGAATTCACAACCTCCTATACAGTAATTTAGATGACAACAAGACGGCAGTTTTAGTACCGCTAAGAGCGTGCTCCGTCAAATCTCCGGGCAGCATTGACAGGCAAACTCCAGCGTAGGCTTTCGGGATGGAACATGCAAGGGAAATGATCGCTGTCGCCTATGCAGGCAATCCTTGTCATGTCACCTCAGTCTTCCCGCGCTCGTCAGACGGTGTTGGCGTGCCTGCTGCTGGGGCCGTCGGCCAGCCAGTACGCCGCCTCCCGTCGCAGCAGCCCGCCCGTGCCCATCCTGCGACAGGTCAGCACTTCGCACGACGACGGCTCCTACACGTACGGCTACGAGGCCGGCGACGGCTCGTTCAAGCTGGAGACGCGGCGCGCCGACGGTGAGGTGTTTGGCAAGTACGGCTACATCGACGGCAGCGGTGAGCTGCGCACCGTCGAGTACGGCGCCAACCGGCTGGGCTTCCAGCCCTCCGGCGCAGGCATCACCGTCGCGCCGCCCACGCTCGTCGACGAGACCCGCCGCTACCGCGACGACGGCGAGAACCGACGCTACGACGACGGCCAGTACCGACGCTACTACGACAACGGCGGGTACCGCCGCGGCGCACCGGCGGCGCCGGCGCCGCCGCCGGCGCCCATCGCCGCCGCCGACTTCCAGCGCCAGTTCGCCGAGTTCGACCGCCGGATCTCGCGGCTCTTCGACGCGAGCGCGCGCCCGACGCCTCGCCGGTACCCGGCCCCGGCTCCGGCGCCCGCCCCTGCGCCCGCCACGACCTTCTACGCCCGCACGTACCAGCAGCAGGGCGCGCAGGTCGGGGCGAATCTTCCGGACAACGTGGACCTTGAGACGGGCTCCTATCGGCTGAATTATGTCGGGAAGAAGTAGGGGCGTGTTGGTTTTGTGTTGTGTGCTGGTATTGTCCGTATGTGCGTGGACTCTTTTACAATGTGCCGCGAGTTTGTGTAGGTGCGATTTTCTTTCGAGCCAGCGGTTCATTCTCACCTACCGGCGCCGGCTGGCTGTTAACGCCTTCCATGGTTTATTTGTTTGTTTACGTTCGGGTGCGCAAATATAGAACGTGAAAGTTAAGCCTTTGAATGTCGCGTCCATGCGAAGCCAAACACGTCTCACATAGAACGCAATCTATTTGCTTTTCGCCCTAACATATGCCCAAAAACTGCTTGATGTCTTCGTTTCTCGATGCCTCCTGGTATATTTCGGTTTGACAATTTTTTTTAAAAATCATAGTGATGCACATGCATGGACTCCTTGCCTCCCTTTTCTTTCTGAAAACATGTGTTGTACGCCACCGGTAACCCTGCCTCGAAATTTATTGTGATGGTGCACGAGACAATTTATAATCCCGCACACGAATATAATCATCTAACTCACGGAGATTGAAAACCACGCTCTGTCTTGTCCATTGACCCCATGCACGGTTGTACGTCACATCGCGCAAAACCGTGCACGAACACATCTACCTCGCCGAACATCTCCAAATATTGACATAATACGGTACTACCTCGCAGCAGTGATCACGAAATTCACTAGACGACGTGCGTCGTTCATCGCCCCATCGCCCGCATTACCACTCGACACCACCTTCCGAGGGCCTCTCCGCGCCCCCGCCGACTCTTCGGCCGACAGGCGGCCTTGGTCGGGCCCTGGGGCGGGGGCGCGGACGGTACGGACGTGACGTCACGTGCAGATGACGTCACTGCGGCCGCAGGTGTCGAGCCGTCTCGCCGCGTTCAGCTGTTTTCGGAGCCAGCTGGAGCCACATGCACCGGCAGGCGTACGTGGGTATGATCTGCACGGGTGGGCGTCTGGCCTTGCTTCGGGTGCTGTGCGGTGCATGCCGATGAGACGGTGAGGCGCGAGGCGCCACGCTCCAGTACAAACCGACGCACCGGGTGAACCGAAGCCAGTGAGATGTCATGCTGACTGTTTCCCCTCTTCATGCTCACCTGCTAGGTCACCTATGCATTTTAGAGGGTTTTCCTTATTTGTGTGGAGTTTTGAGTTGAAATAGCGCTCTTAAATATTTTTGGTGTAGTTCACAGCCCTGCCCTTCTTAAAACTTAGCCCTTCTAGCTTCTTAAATTCACGCCCCCAAAGCTGTGCAGACTATTTCGAGGAGACTTCTCCAAGTTTACTAAAGGCATTCATGACGCAATATTAACGTTCTTCAAATCCTACCGTTTCGTTGGCTATACCGCGACTAAAGCCAAAAAAATTAGCCGTCGAATCGTTCATGTCTGACGTTCGTGAGCACGATTTCCAAACATAGCAGCTGTCAATGGACTCTGAGCCAATGTTGTGTAAGGTACGATGACGTAATCAAATAATGACTTATCGAGGAGCATGTTTACTAATCCGAAAAATTGTGTTGTTTGCGGTAGCCTTTTCCACTCAACAGTTAATCAATGGTTATAAGTGAGCTTATTTGGACGTGTCTGACGCTTGCTTAAGCATATTTAGATATGAAGCATTCCCTTTATGCACTATTGGACATGTTGAGATCATTGACTATGATGTATGCTTACTTGTCTTAGTGCTGTTAAGAGGTACCTGATGAAAATTTGAATATTGGTGATCATGTGACCGCGGACTTCTCGTGACTGTGTTAAAAATGAAAATATTGACCATCAGCTGGATACTATACTTGGACCACCAGTCTTCCCCAAACGGTTAAAGCTTTCACACTGTATGAAGAAGGCTAGTGGTCAAAATATGACATTTAATTAAATGTACATCTTGCTGACTACTCTTTCTGACTGCAGCTGATTACTTCAGACGGTCACGAGGAAACAATATTGGAGCATCCTGCTGACCCATGAGGGATGTCCAAGCCCTCTGCACGCGCTTCATTCCATACGACGCCGTCCTTGACATAAACAGATAGGCCTTTTGGTGGTGTGATACCAACGCTTCAAACGACAGATGGCCTAGCAAAACGTTGTTGGATGGCGCCGTTACATATGCAACGAAGAGATACCCCTTCGACCTGTTTTGAGGGCCGAACTGGACCGCATCAAAACACAGTGCTCGGGTCGGAATGTGGTTCAGCTACTGCAAACGTCCTTGAAGTTCATCTAGATAATCCCTCCGTTATTACTCTGAAGACGCCCGAGTTGTAACATGTCTAAAAAGCCATATTGTTGTGTTTATCTGATGAGGCAGGTCGCCTCACGCCTCACGCTTGAACACTCGCAAAAGTCTCGCTACCAGCCCACTTTATACGGCAGAAACAGTGGTCCCCACTACTTAGTATTTGTACTTAAAGGGAGTGCTTCACGTTGGAAAATATTGAAGCAAGCATCAGATATCATAAAACAAGCTCACTTATAGCCAGTGGCGTACTTTTAAATGGAAAACACTGCTCTAGACAGCACGGTTCTCTGCTTAGTAAATACTTTCCTCAATGTGTCATGGTTTGACCACGTCATCGTACCGTACACAACGTTGATTGAAAGCCGATTGACGTCCGTTATATCTGGAAGTCGCGTCCACGACCGCCAAATATGAACGCCTCGACAATTGTATTCTTCTTGGCCTTGGTTGTCGCATGGCTTATGGAATGGTAGGATTTGAATGACGAGACGTAAGCAGTGCCGAAAAGCCTTCAAGATGGGCATTTCAGCTCAAAACCCCATACACATGTAGAACACTCTCTTCCGCTCCCTGGCGGCCGGTCGGATATCTTTCGCTCGGGCGGGGGTGAATTTGACCCCTGAGGTCTCAGGAACTAAGGGAGCTAGAGACACCAGATTCACAGAGCGCGTTGATCTGTGTATGAACTCACTTAGGTTAAGGTTTGAGGTTCCTAGCTCATGATCTTCGGGTCAAATAAAGTCAAACAAGGCCAAATTCGGGGGTGGTCTCCAAAGGTCCCTAAAACCTAGATATATGTTATAAGCAAAGGTCACACGCTCATCTGAGGTCAGTGACCTTGCTTGACCTTTTGACGGTCATGATAACCAGAATCATACAAGACCGCTTTGAGTTTTGCATTTGGATAAGCGTGAAAGGTTACGCTAAGCAGCATGTTCCTAAAAACAAGATGCTGACCTGGGTCATTTTAGGTCAATGACCTGTTCTGGCCTTTAATAATCTATGAAAGATGTATAATGCGGTTCTTGTTATCAATAAATTTGAAATGAGCACCAGGAACTATCCCATACAGCAAGCGCTAGAGTAATAAAACAGGTTCATTTTGATCTTGGTCTGACCTTCATGCCTGATCTTAGGTCAATTTAATTTGTTAATTTTATTGCTGTGGCGCCTAAGAAAGCATCTCAGAAATGTATGGCTTCGTCTAACATTCCGTTGTTAGATCAGATTGAACGATTCCCTAGAAATTGCCTTCGCTGAAACCATGGCTTGACTTTGATCTGCCATAGGTCAGTGACCTTACGAAGTTCATCCAAATTTTGTGACGCCAGACGATGCGCTATTCAATTGTCTACAGCTCAGCAAAATTTGGCGCGGCTACGCTGCGTCGTTCGAAAACCATTCCTGAAAAACCTCTGTGGTCAATTTGACCCCCAACCCGAGCGCGTGTTATCAGGCCGGTGACAAATGCCATTGAGGGCCACACCCCGTGTCCGTATATTTCGTAGCTGGTAGCTCTCGCAGCTCTTTATGCACTTCCCGCAGTAACACCAATCCAAGGTGAGTCAAAAACCAAAACAGCAAACGGTTCGTACCAGATCCACATATTATAAAAGGGAATGTAATTTAAGATGATTGCATGCTCTGTTAAATACAGCAGATAATATAAGCCTATGTAAGCAGAAAATATAGATAGCAGATAACATAAGCAGATATAAGCCTGAATACAAGCGAAAATATCAGTGGTGATATGAGCCTCGGTGTTGCGACAGGCTCCCCTCGACCTCGCCGGCGGCGGACAACTCACTGTGGTTGTCCTTCATACAAACACCATAATGAGGAGGGTGTTATCTCGTCGTCAATGGCGGACCGGGGAGGGGGGGGGGGTCCCCGGTATTGTTACTGGCCACACCACGATACCTCACACCAATATGCTTGGTGTTGTTCGACCGTCCGAACATCCAATGTTACGTTCGAGCCCTGATCGTCCCATCACACATGGTCGGTCCGAATATACGCTGTTTCAGCGGTCTCAGGGAATGTAATTGATGTATGGCGCTAATGATGCGTTCAGCGCGGTGCGATAGGATCTTATAGCTTCCCTCTCCCTGCTCCTTATCACACCGAGGTTACCCGTTCCATCATGACACGGATTGAGAACGATTGCCTTACATTTGCTTTTGTATTGGTTTTGAACAATGAAATGAGAGGACATCAAGCACTCTATGACAGCGAGTGTATACACTGCGAATAATGCCCAATCAGCACTTGCTCGTTCCCGAATATGTGCCTTATTAGCAGCAGTGATAATTTCTTCGCCAAAAGCAGCCAATGCGACGTCATGACCGCTGAGAAGACCATTATTCGCATGGGTTGGGCCAGCATTTTCACGCCATTGTGCTGCCAATCTCTGCCGTCCATCTCTCAGTGCTGGGCCCGGCCGCTCCCAGTCGACCAATCGTCGTCGTCCGCACCAGCGCTTCTGAGGGCTTCACCGTCGAGCAGCTTGCCTGACGAGCCTGTCGAAAGACGCTCACTCGGCGTCCTCTGCCTTCTCCTCCATGTGGTAGCTCGCGCCGCCGGCAGGGTGCACCACCGTCGATCCGTAGCCGAACCGGGCCACCGGGCGGTAGCTGTAGCCGTGCGGGTGCTTTATGTACCCGTGCGGGTGCTTCACGTGCACCGCGTAGCCGCTCGGGTAGCCGTGGTAGCGGGTGTAGCTGTACGGCGCCTGGTGGTGGTATCCGTGGCCCGCGTGGCCGTATGGGCGGCCGAGACCTACGAAGTGGCCAGAGCCGTGGTGGCCGTAAGGGTGACCAGCGTAGACGGCGTGACCGTAGCCTGGAAAGCCGTAGCCGTAGGGAAGCGCGAAGTAGCCGTGCTTGCCGTGGGCGGCGTAGCCGGAGCTGCCGTACGCGTGGGTCGCCTGCTGGTATGGCTGCACGACGCCGTAGTCGTAGGCGAACGGCTTCGGCGCCATGTCCTCGGTCTCCTCCGCGGTCATATCTGCCGCCGCCACCGCCGAGAGCACCGCCATCGCCAACGTCGACTGGAATGCAGGGCTGGTGCGAGGAGACGGCCACCCGTAGACGGGAACAGCGATTGTAGGGAAAACAGGAGCTTGGGGTGTCCGTAGAGAAATATGGGCACAACGAAATGTGAACATGACTTACGGGTCGGATCTGATGGCGAAACTTAGAGCTGACGAGTAACGATCACAGGCATGGGGAAGCATATTCCACACGCATTTGCCCGAAAAGCGGGTGCAACAGGTTCAAGAGTCGAAACCAAATATCGCACAAAATTCAGCAAACAGACCCAGCTGTATCAGATGATCTTACCCAAATCGCACGAGCCATCTTGTATGCCGAACTCCCAGAGCACGTGTGTGGTCCTTGCGCCGTGTCTGGCTATTTATACAGGCGCAGCCACCGTCGGTAGGTCGGCTTCGGCTCGCTGCCCGTCGGCTGTGGAGCCATGGTCTTCACATCCGCCCCGGCGCCGGCGCTGACCGCACGCCGAGGGTCATGGACCACGGGGGTCACGGACCCGCCCTGTCCGCCGGAGCGGACAGGGCGTCGCCCCGCGCCGGCCGCACGCGCACGCACGCGGCTCTCACGCACAAGCTCCGGGTGAAGCACCTCGCGCCGCGCCGCCGCCTGACGACCCGCTCGGGTGTCGCTGCCGGCCCGTCCCAGGACGACGTCATCCGCTCGGCCTGGGCCGGACGGCTACCGCTGATGATGATGATGATGACGCGCGTGATCACCGTGATCACACGCAGGTGCGTGAGACGACTGATGAGCCGCGACGAATTTCACCGCCGTCTCGAGCCACTTAAGGACGATCCATGTGCACGTTTACAACGATCGTCGTTGAAATATGAATATCAACCGTTTCTATGAAAAAAAGAAAACTTCAGTGTTGGCTTCGCTAAAGGAGTATTCGGCCCATGTCGTTGGCATAGATAAAATCCGTTATCTCGCACATTAAGGCGGAGAGCGAGGCAAAGAGGAGAGTGCCGCCTTGTTCGTGCGGCTGATGCTGAATAGGAATTTCTCTCCTAATTGAATGCCCCTGAGTTCTTCAACTCTATCCTCATGCGGTGGTTTTTATGACCCACGGTGCATTTATAAAGAGGCATTCCAAAAGCTGGAATCTTGGTGTCTGAAGCACGTTCATATATTCTAAAAATAAATGTCACGTGGCCTGTCTAAATATGAGATATTTGCATCACTCAGTGGCGGTTCTAGGAACCGCTTCTGATTTTCTTGGGAAGCCTATGGCCTCCAAGCGCCCTCTATAACGGCAATTATATGATGAATTTGCTATGGCGAGGTCTATAGGGAGACATATGAATACAAATCGATCCCTTGATAAGACGAATGTTCCGTCCACTGTTTATTACACACGGCTGATATTTGACTGAATTTAGGTATAGCATGGTGTACTGCAAAAGGCTCATCACATTTAAGTGTTGTGCTGTTTTAGAGAATTGTCAAGGCTGGATTCAGAAGCAATGGAGGCAGGTGTTTGAGTACTTTCTAGTCTACAATATCCGGACTAATTACGTACGGAAAACAGTGTAATCTTGCTGGTAGCGGTTGCAGAAAACTTCAGTTGATGACATTCGTTCAGGCACCATATATTTACCCACAAAACTGTCTGTTCAGACACAACTCCAGGCCTTAGATTAAAGTTGCAACAGGTGTCTCAGATCATGTGCTGGCCTGTGTTTTGATCATGTGTTCGGGACCAGCAGCTGAGCAATATGCGTATGCTATTGCCTCGATTGGCCGCTGGTATCGGGTACTTTAAAATGACTGAGTTTACCTGGGATGCCCGGCGATGCCCGGGTAATGAAGCAAGATATACTGAAAGGGGATGACTTGACACAGTGGTATTTGGTTTATGGCCGAAAATCGATCTTACTTGTGACGTGGGTATTCAGATTGCATTTGTGTTAAATAGGGGGATATGCTGCAACAAAATTGCCCGTCTCAAATCACTTGTGACAGTGAAGCTGCTAAACCACCATAACCAGACGTTCAACATCGAATCGACCAAGTGCAGCGGTAGCTTACAATCTGAAAACGTTACACGCGTTCAATACGTACAATCTGAAAACGTTACGGTAATCTACAGTCTGAAAACGTTACACGCGTTCAATACGTACAATCTGAAAACGTTACGGTAATCTACAGTCTGAAAACGTTACACGCGAGTCTCGGGCGACCCCTGAGTGTCTCTGGCACGAAAGAGGTCGCTATGTTCTACTGAATCGTTTTTAACCGGCTGGCCACTCATAGGGATCATGTAGCTCTCCGAGGTACAGCAATACGGCCCGATGCAGGCCACGGGCAGTCCTGGCAGGACGGGTCGAGCATTGAGTAATCGAGGCTGCACACAACGCCATCTGTCGATGGGGTGGTGCAGGCTGGATACCGGCGTGCGTTGCAATCCTGCTGCAACTGACTTTGTCCAAGAAATATTACGATTGCAGAGCTCTCCTGCACACTTCATTCTTGGTCTTGCTCTCCCGCGGCGGAACGAACTGGTCTGTTGCTCACTCTGTAGCAGCCGATGTACCGCCAACCCGGGAGAGCACGGGCGCAGCTAGGTTGAGACCCTCACCTTCAGAGAGCAGCCTTGACCCTTGCCCATCGTCACGTAGTCTTGTCTCGGTGGAGCTCTGCTTGAGAGGAAATTTGATCAGTTTGAACTCGAAGGGCATGCCAAATGGAATGAGCTACATTCTGGAGATGGAGACGTTTGCTCCCTGGGCCTCGTCTGCCATCGTGTTCGCCACTCCGGAGCTTGATGGATCCATGTTTGGTATGAGCCTGCTGGGCGCCTTGCCTTAACACCGAGTTTCGTGATAGCAGTCATGGCGGCTCCTGTCTTCTAATAGGCACCAGTTGGTAGTTCACAGTCTCCTCTACTGGCTGGTCCTTGTCTCTCCACGCTGCTTCTCCAGAAGCTTGTAGCTCTTATCATCGGCAGCGAAGTTGTCCGAAGTCGTCCTTGAATGACCTGAGCATGACCTGCTCACTGAGCCAGGCTGGGTGTTGGTACCACTCTTCGAGATCGGGAAGACCTTGACCAGGAGGTCGTCGACAAATTTTTCGCTCGAGGAATGCTTGATATGGCTTGGCACGGCTCTGTTCGTCACTTACTATTCGTCCCGTTGCAAATTATGTAACGGCGCGGACAGACAGTCACCTAGGAAACTGTTCTTGGATCCGTTCCTCACTTTGTGTTGATAAGCTCTTCCCACGTTTTCAAATTTGTTTATGATTCGCTAGTCGCTGCAGCATGACGTTGTTTTGATGGACAGATCATTGCCGCAGACAACAAAATACTCATACCAGCTTGATAGCTGAATATCTGGCTCCACATGTGTTGATTTTTTTTCCAAATCAGGCATCCCTCGAGCGAGAACTGGAACTTGTCGACGGCCTCGTGGCCAGCCTCCGCGGATCGTTATGTCCTGGTTTTCACCGTTTCTGTCTCCTCACAACTGGCAGGTAAACAATTGATTAGCACGCGTCAGCCGATATTCCCCACTCTTCAGACAGCCTCCAAAAGGTGTGGAGTCGACACCCACCAATGCCCCAACTCTGCGGAGCGCGCCTGCTCGTGCCGCGCGCAAGTTGGTCTGATCTGGATTAAGGGCAACATAAGCCTTCCTCTCGCCTCGCTGAATCAGAACGTATGAAGTTTTGGGGTCTACCACCGACGGTTCTGGGGTTATTAGAGGACAAACGATAGAGTTTCCCATTCATCACGTGAGATCCCGAGATGCATAGGGGTAGATATAATCAAGCGGCACACCCATCAATATAGAGGCAAACCTTTAGCCATCAAGCTGGTACGGCTTCTTTTGGTGTCTGCTGCAATGACCTGTCCATCATTACAAAGCCGTGCTGCGAGCAACTAACAAATCATAACAGGGGCAGAGCAGGCATCAGAAAAAGGACCTTCATGCATGCCAATCTGGCAGCTGATTTGCGTACACCGGAATAATGTGTTATGACAGGAGGCCTCGCGTGGTAATCAAAGTGGTTCATGTTTAGCATCCACGCCTGTGCACTGGCGAACAGTTTAGCGATATGTTTCAACAATGTTTATTTTTCAGCGTAGCTTTGCTCGCTACCCAAATAGCAGAACGAAGTGACTTGTCCTCAAGCCTATTTCTGTATTTACTAGCATACATAATTCTCCCCAAAAACACTTTAGCATTTCAAAAACTATTATTTTGTGTTAAAATAATGTTTTATGACTATGTGGTGCGTCCGACAACTGTAACCATCACCACAGGCAAAGCAGGTCAAATAGACAGCTTGACAGAAAAGAGCCAGATGTGAACTGTTCGTGGGTCTGTCACGGACACAAAAAGTGTGTACATGCATCGCGTGGTGTCCGGTTCGGCAGTGTGACGTCAGAGGTTGCGGTCACGTGACGTGAGGGCCCCACCGGGTCTCACATGGGCCGGTCGGTCAGCCATGCTTGGGGCTCTGTCGAATACAAGTCGTAAATGGACGCGGGCATAACGCATTGGTTAATGCTTTCGGTGAATGATTGAGTCAATGATCCATGTAACCTCCTGCCTAGATCCACTAAACACGCAGTATTACAAAATTGGTGAAGGTGAGTGATAAAAAGATGTGTTAGAATGCGATTTTTCTTCTGGTCACAGCATTCCCAAATCAGATCACTTTTAGGTATTCAAAAGAGAGCATATGGAGAAAAAAGAGAGGCTCTGGTGGCAACTTTAAGCCCTTGGACGATAAAATCATTCAGTTAGATTTTAAACTGTAATGTCAAATGTAGTTACATGTCTTGAATGCAAGAGAACTTCGCCATATAAAGATCTGATTGCCCAGCTGTTTTGAAAACTTTTTTTGCGCATAATATAGGCCCTTTTTCTAACAAGGATGTTGATTGCAAACCAAGTTAAAAACAGCAAGTTGTGACATTCTTCCGGTTTGAACGGAAGGCTACTTGTTAGGCGGTAACCATGCAATAAGTGTGCGAATATTCAACGGAAACATAGACCGTATGGGATTCCATAAGCATATTACCAAATGCAATGATATATTTGGTCATATAGCACCGTGAAACTCGTATTAAAAAATATTGCTTGTTGTTCTGTAAATGTTGAGGTTGAACACGTACCTAATTTCTAGAATAACAATGTTCGCGTCGTTCTCAAAGAAAACGAAATTGGAAGGCTCGATTTCTCAAACATAGCGGCTGCCACAGAGTTTTGCAACTTTACGTTTATAATCTTCTCGATCCGGGCAGCTATGAGGCTATGCATGGATTAAGTCGCTGGATTTTACAGAATTCATGCTGTGGCGTGCTGTGAGCTGTGTGAAGGAAAAAAGCGGATCTTA